TATATATATATATATATATATATATATATATATATATATATATATATATATGTATATCACATGTGTTTATTAAAGATTAACATACAATTTTTTGAGGATTTTATGAAGATTTCCCTCTTTAGAAAGAATCTTGCAATAGTTTTTTAAAAATTATTTTTATAAGGAACTTAGTATTTATAGTGCTTCTTTTTTTTTTTGCTGTGAAACCAATTGTACAAACACAGTTTTTTTTTCTTTTCAGTTCTTGGATATGAAAAGTATGTTGTGTTCTCCACCCCAATTTCCTGCAGCTTCTTCAACAATAATCTCATTTTTTCCTATTTAAAGATCATTAGTTTGATAATTGAGATTCATTTCATGTATCACTGTATAATCACTTTAACGATTTTTGGTAGATTTAATACGGAGAAAAGTATTAAAAACACTATAAATTTGGCGTATATTATTTGTTTCGTCTTGAGTTGTTATTGACTGCTTCAAAAACATCCTTCCACTAGACCAATTTAACTCTGACATACCTCTGATCTGCTACATGACATATCAAGTATTTTTTCAAATTCTTGTAGAACACATTCTTAATAAAAAAAAATCAAAAAAAATATTAAAAATGCATCTAAACTTGAGAAAAATATAGAGATTAATTTCACTTATATTGCAAAATCAAAAATATATTTAAATTTAATTAGTCAAATAATTAAAAATATATTAAAACTATAAATAATTCAAAAATAAAACTACTAATTTGCAATGAGTTTAAAGAATATTTTCCATAGTTAGATGCTTTGTCATAATTAAAGTTTAAAGGTAACTTGCAAACCCACCCATGTGGCATGCTACCCCAACTAACATTTTGCTTTGTTGTAAATTCAAGATATAACGACTTTAGAAATAATACCAAGAATCACCTAGCTTTTTCTTGATTCAGACATTAAACTAGGTGTAATTAAGGCTTTTAAAGTCATTTCATATGCAGATTAAATTGTTTTTGAGATTATAATTTTTGAATGATTTATTATATTTAAGAGATACGATAAAATAATTTGAAGTGGAATGAAATAAATTAAATAGCTTAAAAGGTTACTCAATTATAAGATATATAGCAAAGTCATTTATTTGTATAATAAGATCACTCAAGTTATAAATTTTTTCTTAGTAAAATAATTCAACCAAGTTTGTCAAAAAAAAAAAACACAATATCCTATGACATTTTGGATTAAGAAGAGACAATACCCCCTCCATGTTTTGATGATTCAATAAACCCCCTTAATTTCTAGTTAACGGCAAAAAATAAGCTGGATTATTACATTAAAATATCTCAAAGTAGAGATGATGTCTATTGATCAAATATCAATTTATTATTTTCTAATTTCAAGATGTTAAAAGGAGTTCTTTTGTGTTAAATTTGATTGAATAATTTTATAGAAAAAAAAGATGTAGGTCGAATAATTTTATTAATTCATAATAAAATTAAAGATATATTTACTCAACGAATTATATAAAATATCTCATAAATAAGTTTGAAATAAAGAATTCATTTTATCTCAAACTTAAACATAACATATTACATTTTATTGAAGTACCAAATGAACCATTTCAACTTTGAGAGAAATATTAAAAATATTATTAAAACTCGATGTGAATTGTTAGTTTCACTATGAATTATCGCAGTCTTAAAAATATTTCTTAACTTAATTAATTAAATTTAAATGCACCCTTGATTTGTAACATAAATGAAATACATTCCTAAATTCTTCTATTAAGTTTAGGGATAGTTTCAAACAATTCTTTTAACTTTTTTATCAAAAGATTCTCATATTTTTAGGAAAAGTTAAAACCACTTCAGCTAATCAATATTCAATGTATTTCGAGACGAAACTAATAATTTATTTCAATAATCTTCATAGCTTTCTTAGCCCAGTTCCCACCAGTTTTTCCTTGTTTTGAATTTGATTAATATTTCTTGAAATTCTTTTTAACTCTTTGAATCTGTTGAAAAAACAAATTGCAAAATTGTATTAATTATTCGAATGGATCATCAAAACTCGCAATCGTTTGCGTCTCAGTCACATTTCTATGTATCATTTCTCCAAGACAGCTTGAAATCGAAAGTCCCATTTCCCATAAAGTTAATCCATGGCCGTATAATCAAATCAGGCATCCATTTAAGTGTTTTCCTTATGAATAATCTCATAAATGGGTATGCGAAAACCGGGTTTTTATCCTATGCTCGTAAAGTGTTTGATGTAATGCCTGTGAGAGATTCTTCTTCTTGGAATACACTTTTATCTGGTTATTCAAAAGGGGGTTTAATTAATGAAGCACATTCAATTTTTAGGGAAATGCCTTACCAGGATTCGGTGTCGTGGACTACTATGATTGCTGGGTGCAATTTTGTTGGTAGTTTTCAGGTTGCAATTCAGATGTTTCTTGAGATGGTTAGTGTATCTGATGTTTCGCCAACACAGTACACATTTACGAGTGTTCTTGCGTCGTGTGCTGAGATTAGAGCGTTAAACGAGGGACGGAGAGTTCACTCCTTTGTTGTTAAATTTGGGTTGAGTAGTTATGTTTCTGTAGCAAATTCTATGTTGAATATGTATGCTAAGTCAGGGGATAGAAATGCAGCTCAAATGGTATTTGATGGGATAGTAGTGAAGAACACGTCGAGTTGGAATACATTGATCTCGTTGTATATGCAAACTGGTCAGGTGGATTTAGCGTTGGAACAATTCGAGCAAATGAATGAGCATGACATAGTTTCGTGGAACTCAATGATTACGGGCTATAATCAGCACGGCTTTGACGTTCTAGCTCTTAGTATGTTCTCTAAAATGCTTAAAGAATCGTTGCTGGAGCCTGATAGATATACTTTAGCAAGTGCTTTATCAGCTTGTGCTAATCTTGGAGAATTAAATGTAGGAAAACAAATACATGCTCATCTCATCAGAACTGAATTCGACACATCAGGAGCTGTTGGAAATTCTTTGATTTGCATGTATTCCCGGAGCGGTGGCGTAGACATTGCTAGAAGAATTTTAGAGAAAAGTAGAGAGTCCAATCTAAATGTAATTGCGTTTACATCACTACTGGATGGGTACATAAAGCTTGGTGATATAAGTCCAGCAAGGAAGCTTTTTGACTCATTGAAGGACCGTGATGTTGTCGTTTGGACAGCCATGATTGTTGGTTATGTTCAAAATGGCTTTAATGATGATGCGATGGAACTCTTTAGGTTAATGGTTAAAGAAGGGCCAGACCCAAATAATTATACTCTAGCAGCAATGTTAAGTGTATGTTCAAGCGTGGCATCGTTAAATCATGGTAAGCAAATACACTCAGCAGCCATTAAGGCAGGGGAAGCATTATCAGTTTCTGTTAGCAATGCCCTGGTAACTATGTATGCCAAGGCTGGAAATATCAGCTGCGCAAGGAGAGTATTTGATTTGATACACCTGAACAGAGACACAGTCTCTTGGACTTCGATGATCTTGGCTTTAGCTCAGCATGGACTTGGAGCTGAAGCCTTACAATTGTTTGAGAATATGCTTGCACTTGGGATGAAGCCTGATCATATAACGTATGTTGGTGTTCTTAATGCTTGCACACATGTCGGATTGGTTGCTCAAGGCCGTAATTATTACAAAATGATGAAAGAGATTCATGGAATTGAACCGACGTCAAGCCATTGTGCTTGCATGATTGACCTGTTTGGTCGTGCTGGATTGCTAGAAGAAGCACAAGACTTCATAGAAAATATGCCAATCGAACCAGATGTGATTGCATGGGGTTCGCTTTTAGCATCTTGTAGAGTTCACAAAAAAATGGAGCTAGCAAAAGTTGCAGCTGACAGATTGCTTTCAATTGATCCGGAAAACAGTGGGGCCTACTCAGCACTTGCTAATGTGTATTCTGCTTGTGGAAAATGGGCGGAAGCTGCTAAGATCAGAAAATCAATGAAGGATAAACAGGTCAAGAAAGAACAAGGATTTAGCTGGATTCAAATAAAAAACGTAGTCCACGTCTTTGGTGTAGAAGACGGGCTTCATCCGCAGAGAGATGCTATTTACAAGACAATGGAAAAAATCTGGAAAGATATCAAAAAGATGGGATTCATTCCTGACACCGAGTCGGTGCTTCATGATCTTGATTACGAGGTGAAAGAGCAGATTCTTAGACATCATAGTGAGAAGCTTGCAATTGCATTTGGGTTAATAAATACCCCGGAGAACACTACTTTAAGGATCATGAAGAACCTTCGAGTATGTAATGATTGTCACTCAGCAATCAAATTTATCTCCAAGCTTGTAGGAAGAGAAATCATTCTGAGGGATGCCACTCGTTTTCACCATTTCAAAGGAGGTTTCTGCTCATGTCATGACTATTGGTAGGTCATGAACCAAATTTTATCTAAAATTCCACATCAGAGCATCTCTGGAGAAAATTCCGAAGGAGGTTCGAGAAATTCATACATAAAGGTAAACATAACTACGAAGTATGACTTCACTGATGGTAGTGCTGTATAACTTTGTCATCCTGTCAGTAGCTCCTCAGAGAGGCTTTGTGGTATACAACAACAATAACAAAATACACAGTGGATCTGGTAACGGTAGAGTGTACGCAGACCTTACCCCTGCCTTGGTAGGTAGAGAGTCTATTTCAGATCAGAGTGGCTTTGCGGTATACTTAATAAATTGTAAAATAAAAAAATCAAATGTTTTTTGTATATTCATCATTTACAGACTCAGACGTTATCTTGGAGCATTGATTCTGCAGGATTCCACACGACTAATCTCTTGGATGAACTATGGTCTCTCCTTCATCTCTCAGTACACCAAGTCAGGTAAGTATACATACATTTCTTGGTCAACTGTCACGGCAATCAAGATTGTTGTCATCTGATATTGTCCATTGCAGATGTAGAATACATGATTTCCCTTTGCTGTTGCTCTAGTTTGTGATGCAGAAGGTAGAACCGGTCATCATTCTCAGATGACTCTACTGACATTTATCTAATAAATATCATTCTCAATAGCTGATTGATATTTTCATGCATCGACAAAAGTGATTCAAATTTTGGAATAAGAAATCAATGTAAAACATTTTATCTGTATTACTAACAGTTATAATCATAGGGAAGTGGATGGTGAACCAAAAGTGTAGACGAGGTTTGAGGAAACTTGATTCACACTTGTAACTACTTTGCATGTACGATGATAGTGCAGTTGCTCGTGTTGCCTTTAGCATAAGGTCAAGATATCAACATATCTGCATCTTATATCAATACTACTACAACAACAACGAACATAGTGTAATCCGAATTGGGAATCTAGGGAGGATAGAGTGTATGCAGACCTTACACCTACCTCGTGGAGGTAAGAGGCTTTTGCTTATATCAATAAAACTGTTTAATCCTGAATTTCAGATCATTCTTAGAATTTTGTATTTGGTAAATCACGTGTTTGTTCTTCCTTTTTTCTGCAAGGGGCGAGCTGATTGTGTAACAAAATGGAGAGAACTAGTGTATGACGACAATAATGCTGAAATGCAGGGACAGTTTATTCTGCATTCTTCGAGTTGTCTTTGTTGTTTAATAGTGAATCAGTACTATCATAACCAGAAAAAACAGTACAAACTTAGCAATTTTAAACATTTTGTTGAGCTGGTAACTGATATACCAGTTATAAATTCAAGAAATGAACCACAAATGGTGGTTTGATGTTTTTTCCTTCTTGTTTAATTTAGCTGTCTTACTGACTAAAGTTTCGTAGACAAATTATTTTTATAACGCACATTCTTGTTGCCTGAAACCCCTAATTTAAATTGAGCTTTGCTCAAATGTACCTTCTCTTTTTACATGAAAGCACCCGTTGGTGTTTTAGGCAAGATTCTATGCCTAGAATATGAACACCTTAATTTTGTATACACAAATGTAGAAATTGGAACCACTACTACGATTTCGACAGCAAATGTGTCTCAGCCTAGATTGACTAACCTAACTCACCCTTAAGGAGGTTTTTCCATAGTTGAGTGTCTACTTTAGTGTGCTTCACAAAGACTGGTAGGTTTGATAATATCCAAAACAAATAAAAAGAGATCGAGGTTTATATTGGAAAATACCAGAACACATATAAGATAGTGCTCCGATGGCAGTGGGAGCACATTGCACAATTGAGATAATTTCAACTATTTCAAAAGAAAAATAAGCAAGTTAGTGCTCAGTAAGCATGACATAGCTATCTGTCCTAGGTACGGTCTTTCTTTTAGTATTTCATTTTGGCTCGACCAATCTAGATTAGGCGCTCAAAAAATCTCATTTTTGGGAGGTAAAGTATTTCCTACCAACATTCCCGAGTTCAAATCCTAATACGAAGGAATACTTACCATCCGATAGTCAATATATAATTTTCCAAGCTCCTAGATTTTACATACTAAAATATAGATGGTAAATAATTTACAATACTATATATTATAATTAAATAATTAAAAAAAAAAAGAGTAGTTTTTTCAAACATTAAAGTCATTTTGAAAAACAGAGTTTTCCCTCTAAAAAGTTTGTTAAGAGGCGCATAACCGACTTGTATAAATTCATTCAGTTGTTGTTGAAGCCACAAAGCTCTGTAACTCCCATTATTCCAAAATCTCCATTCCTCTGTAAATTTTAAAGAATCAAAGATCTGATGAAGATTCAATTATCTGTGAGATCGAAGAAAACAAGAGAATTAGTGAGTAATTGGTGGTCGAAGAATGTGACTGAAAAATTGAAGAAGAAGATGAATGTGGTGAAGAAATGGTGTGTGAAGAGAAACGCAAAGATAAAGATAAATAAGAAGAAGAAGCCAATTAAATTACAAAGAGGAAGAAGTGGAGTTTGGGTAGCAAATTGGAACAAAAAGAAGATTGAATGTATGGATGTGATGGGAAACGAAAGTCGAAAAGCTCGAACAAGAATGTGGCTTCAACAACAAGAAGAAAGTGATGAAAACGTAAGGTCCAAACTAATTCTCAATTGAATTTTGTCATTTCCTTCTTCTTCTTCGTCAACGTAACAAAAATTGATAGTATGGTGTTCTTCAGTAGTAGAGTAAAAAAAAACAGAGTACAAAAAATTTCTTAGATTCATAGAATAAGATCGGTTCTATTAAGAACGAGATATATTGATGAATGTGGAGAAGAAAGATTCAACGTTCGTATTCATACAAGTTGTTCTAATATCTTAATTCTGTTTTCTAGTAGTAGGGTTTTTGTGATCAATTTTATATCAAGTGATACTCTAATAAAGTGTTGTTCCAATTTTGAATGAGAGAGTGAATCAATGATAATTATATCTTTAGTAGGAAATTATCCCAAAGTTTAATTTTATTGCTTCGTAAAATATATGGTTCTTGATGGCATGTAAAAATGTTGTATGTGTGCGATACACATCACTTTATTTCTTTCGAATCTATTATTCTTATGAAATGTATCAATGGCTTCCACAATAATCAATTTGATTTTTACGCATATGAGTAATATATCAAATGTCCAATACATGTAACAAATTTAAGTTCCAAAGTGTTAATTTGATTGTCTATAGAACCATGTCAAGTAGAGTATGTATTATATTATTGGTCAGACTAAACTACGTCAAAAATGATGGATCACTTGAAGAAAACCAACAGATTGTCTTAATAATATTTCGGATATGTTTGAAAAGTCATCTGGTGAGTTACTAGAGAAGTAATTATCACTCAAGTAATTACACTAACAAGTTTGTTTATAACGATATAATTACAAATGTGTTATTTGTTGCACAATAACATTTACCATAAGATTATTTATAAAACTTAAAATTTATGTTAGACTAATATCGAGCTGTATAAATAATATTTAATTAAATAGTTAAGATATGTATTGTTTTTTGAAAATATAATACTAATTAATAAATATATATATTCTTAACCACTATTATGAAAAGGTAATTGATTATATTTTTCATATTAGTATATTTCAATTGAGTTAATCATAAAAATTAAAAGTATAAGATTTTTATGAACATAGTAAGACAAAAAGGTTGTTATTATTATAAATAAAATACCAAAAAATATTTGACAAGAAGATAATTCATCAAGTCTAACCAAATACTAAATGACTTGCAATGTGAAATCTCAATTCGGTACTACTAAAACAAATGAAACTGAAAATATAATATAAGTTCTAAATTTAATACATTTTTTTAACATAATACGCTTACGTCAAATTTCAATCTAACATACATAGATATGATTTAAAAGACAAGAAAAATGTTAGTCTATAATCTTACTCAATAATTTAATTTAAAATTAGAATACTAACAACTTTATACTAATGAAAAAAAAACATGACTTAGAAAAAAATGATATTACTCTCTCCGTCTCATTCTACGTAGCACTTTTTACATTTCGAGATTCAAACAAGTATATCTTTGACCGTAATTTTTTCATAGACCATTTTAACATTTTGAATTATCAATTATTGTGACTTATAGTACTCTTTACGTAATTTACATATATATAAATTTCATTTTTTAAAAAAATTGAAAATTCCATAAGCAAATGTCTGGTCAAAGTTAAATTGTTTGACTCTGAAAAAACGAAAAGTGTCACATAAAATGGGATAGAGAGAGTATGAAGAATTACATGGAATCACGTGAAGTGACTGTTAAGAATGAGAAGAAAACAAAATATAAAAAATAAAATTTTAAATTTTTGGAATAATAAAAAAGAATTTAAAATAACTTGAATAAAAATAAATTGAAAAGAAAAATTAAAATTAAAAAGTAATCAGCTTGTAATTACATCATGTGATTACCAACAATTTACTACCTCTCCCTGCAACTTGAAGAATGTAAGTTACATGTTGACCAAGTAATTAACATTTGACTAACTAAACAGGTCACATAATGCAATTACATCTATCACGCCTCCTTTTTTTCTCAAAATTTGATTTATTGTTTTGGAAAAAAAAAGTTTTTCAATTAAAGTGACATTTTGAAAAGGGATAATTATTATTTAGAGTCGTCACTTTGAATTGAGTTTTGGTGTTCCACGTTACCTTATTTAGGTGTTTCAAGTCACCTTATTTAAATCCCTAATCAAGAGATAGTTTGACTTTATTTGGATTGGTCTGCGAACTAGAAATTCGGGTAAGAAATTATGTTGACCGATGGAACGTGTTAGGCACCCCTCGAGTCACGTGGTTCTAGCACGGTCATTTTATTGACTTTAGTATGACTTGGTTTAATTTTTGAATATTATATTATTTAACTTAATAATAAAATTGTCATTTACCATCAGATTTATTTTAAACTTATTTGAAACTAGCTTATTTATTTTAAATGGTCTTTTTATTCGATGTGCATCCATTAATTTTAAACTTGAAACATTCGTGTATTTTTTTTATTTTTTCTGCTTATTTGTATGTTTTTATTTTGGGCAACTTT